GGACTTAATGTATCGATACTCGCGGCTGGGGACTTTATGGGGAAACAAAATATCGATATATATCGCAGGATCGATAAAATTGCTCAGCCCTAGTAGAAACTGCTAACCTAGCTCCATCAAACATCAATCAGTTTGATTTACAGTTCAGACAATATTCATTTCCATGAACATATTACAGAAACAGTTAAATGCTATATTAGTGTAATAAAATGGTACATTGAACTGGTCAGATCTGTTGTTTTAACTGTACCACTATAGCTAGCTAGCTAAGCTACACCAGGAGGCCTGGGGTTTGGGCCATCTTGTTGTAACAAGCAGGTTGGGTTAGTTATTAGGTTTAGTTATTTTCATACCTAATTTATTAATTTATTAAATCTTTGACTGTCTCAATCCTCTGCATCCATGTGTTTCAAGTCCACATGAAATGGAAATCATAGTACTGTTGGCTTTTGTGGATTTACATGTTTCCTGTATAAACAAGCAGCTATGTAGGGACCTGTATAGCGCTAATAGCGCTGAATGTAACGTCCCCCACCATGTAGCTGTAGCGGTCATAGCTGACTCTAGCGGACTTGGAGCTCCCAGTGGACAGCACAGCATCGGATGCCGAGCCCAGTTTGATGACAGGGAAACCAGTACCCATGTGGTTTGCCAGATTTGGCTCCTGGCACTCCAGAACTGAGTCAGCTAGGATTAGCCAACTACCTCCAGGCAGCTAACATTACTGTTACTTTTAGCAACAAGTCCATCAGGAAACTCCCTAAATCACCTTGACCTGGCCTCCATCTGTCTTAGAGTCTGTGTTCACTGTGAGGCTGCTGAGCCCGGTTCTGTTGCATGCTAACGGTAAGCTACAGCAGCAGTTAGCTTGCAAAGGTCCGGCTCCCAGAAACACTCAGTGATCTGTGTGTTAGCCTTAAAGGTCCTCTCCTGTGGAGTCCACCATGTTGAATCGCTATGTTTGTACAGTAGCGCAGAATTGGCAAACCAAATTCTGGCTGAAGACAGAACCGTTTGCTCTTTTTGTGAGTTAAGTGGCCACCGTAGTTTCTCCTACATGCTTGGAATAGGAGGGTGAGGCAAAGGGGTTGTAATCTGCAATAACACCACTAGATGCCACTAAGTTCTCCACACTGGTGCTTTAAGAGCCTTGCAGGAAATAGAGCTGCTGGTCTAGGGTCAGGTCAGTGTCATAGAAATACTGATATCATGTCTGTAATTTATACACGGTTCTTCCTTAAGGAAATTGTATAGGAAATTGTGGACGTGTAAAAAAAATCATACTTTTTTATTAAAGTTTAAATTCTATTTCATCTTCAAGCTGCCCGGAATCAAATTCTGGCAGAGAAATACAAAAATATATTTTTGGGGGAAAAACAGCATGTGGGCGAAGAAGTTATACGACCTGATTCTTCTTATACTTATTTCCGTGGTCTATTGGTGCCCCAGCAGGTCGGTACTTTGCTGTGAATTTAAAATGCACTGTGCTCAGTGCCTTGCTAAAGGGCAAACTGGCAGTGGTGTCAGACACTTCTGATGTAACGCTCATCCAGCAGTCCCCAGAGCTGGAGACACCCACAGAGAGAGGAACGAAGGAGCGGATTATTCACAGATATATTTTCTATCACAGTCAAAACCCTTTTCTTTTATCCCACTCCTATCAGCACTTAATAATTCATTATTCCATGAATTCACATTTCCAATGCACTTATTAACACCAATATTTATTTATTATTATTTATATATTTCCATCCAGCATAAATCCAGCTTCTCCTCCTGACAAAGTGCCAATATTGACACAGTGCTTCCCGGTTGCATTACTTCATTATGATGATGAAATCCCCATTTAATTACGATCAATGATTTAAAGGAATTTAATAAGAAATCTGCTTGAGGTGGAAATCTAATTGTGAAAGGTCGAAAAAGAGAAAACATCCTCCCCAGCGACCGCAGCAAGCAATTTGCATGCCAAAGAAGACAATAACAAATTGGGTGAAATTTTATATGCGGATGAAAATTCCCGTCTCAGGTCTCATAATGGAGGAGTAATGAAAAAATAAAATCCAGCCGTCGTGTTGCATGCACACATGGGAGCGAGTGCACATATGTACACGGCATTTATAATTCATAGTCATCATTAATTCATATGGTGAGGCGTCTGGGGAGCGGAGCGGCCGTGTTTGTTTAACTGATGTGAGCGTTTGGCGCTACATGGAAAGAACATGCAGCATCATCGCATCAAGAGAGAACGACAAGTGGCGGCGGGACGAGCTGCATAGCAGCAAGTTGATAGGTGTACAGTCATCATGTGACAGATACAGGTCATGACTGAGAGGAGACAAGTAGCAGCAAACTAAATTCCCACACCTCAGCCAGTCATTTACCAGGATTTAGTTATTGACCCTTGTTTTTCTACAGTGCATTTTTTGGAGGGAAATTCTGATTCCAATGTACAATACAAGATACTCCAGATAGATAATGAAAGTATTTATTATCTTGGTTGTTATATTGGTGATATGAAAAATGAAGACCAGTATGTAGTGAAGTCAGTGCCTCAAATGGGCCAGTACTCACCAATACTGAGTACTACTTCCACCCCCACCTCTGGTGAGCATGGCTGTACCCACCGCTGATTACCTGGTCACCAAGGTCTGGACTTCAGCATTTTTTCCGAGGGTTATACAGTAAAAGTAGTTACACAATTGCTTAAAAAAACAATTTTGATACATTGATGCAAACCCCAAACCCCCCTAACAAGTTCAGTTTTTGAACCGCTGTATTTCTAAAACCCTTCCTACAGCAGTGCTGGTGAAGTACCCCTTAACGCCTACGTAACTGTGTCTCCATGTAAACACAGCTAGCTTCAAGAAAACAGCACTGAAAATGTCCTTGTCAAAAAACGAAAAAGAATTAGGGATATGTTTTTTGTGTTTAGGCTTAGGATTGTGCTGAATTAGGGTACTGGCACCTTTTTTGGTCCAATTCAGGCAAAGTCAAAGTAAAACTGGGCTAACCTTTGATCTTCCTTTCCCATAGACTGGGTCGTGAACCAGGATATTTTATCGCCCTAAATAGAGTTGGTGTTTGGTTTGTCTGTTCTGGGCTACTGTAGAAACATGGTGGATTCCGTAGAAGAGGACCCGCTCCATCTGTAAACAAAACCTTTTCATTAATTATTTTCAGGTGATTTATCTTATACACCTGATAACACGTTTTATGACAATAGATCCTCCTGAATGGTAAACACTGGACCTTTAAATACATACAGTATGTATTTCTCAAGCATGAAGGGGAAAGAAATAAAAGAAGATTTCCATCTCAAAAAGACAATGTACTACATTGCATTAATGTCATATAAAATGACTCTTTATGCCTTTCTTTCTCTTTGTGTCCCTGTCTCTCTCTCAGAGCCGAGCTCGCACTATGTGATTTCCCTTAAGGCTTTCAATAATGCCGGAGAGGGAGTTCCTCTGTATGAGAGTGCCGTCACACGATCTCTGACAGGTATGTACGCACACAAGTCACCGATAATAATCACAGTAATGTCTGGTCCACCGGTGACCGGTGTTCACACATAAGTGATATGTGGCAGATATAATATTATGTTACATATCATATCAGTGTCAGTATATAAAAGAGTGTTGTAACTGTGAATGCTGTGAGTACAATGATGATGTGGCCATAGTACTTGTGACAGTAGTGTAATGAGTACCAGCAGTAGCAATAGCAGTAACAATAGTCTACTCTCAGACTATTGGGTTTTTAGAATAAACAGCCATCAAAACAAAAGGGCAGTCCCCTGTAATTGTAGTAGGATTAATAGTAGTAGAATCAGAACTAGCTGGAAAAGCAGTAGAGGATATAGTTCTAGCAGCATTAAACACTAGCAGTTGTAATAGTAGCAGTTAAAGTACCGGTAATATTAGCAACAGTGAGCCTAAAAGCAGTAGCAGCAGTATTAGCAGTAGCTGTAGACGGAGCAGGTCTACTCAACTTCTTTATGCTGGGTAGTATTAATAGAAGTAGCAGTAGTGGCTGCATGTATGGGCAGCAGAAGCGTTAGCTGTTTCCTGTATAACTAGGAGTAGCTTTATTAGCATTAGTATGCTAACAGTAGCTTTAGCAATAGCTGTATTGGTAGCAGTTGTACCACTCACACATACAGCATAGGCTGCTATTCAACACTACACTACAGGAGAAAAATAAGAAAAGCTCAACTTTTTGCAAATGCTCTGTGGCACAATGTGATTAACCAATCTAACAAGGGCCACTCAAACTCACACTTTTAAATCTCAAAGAAACAGAAACACAGAGTCGTTTACTTTGCGGCTGTATTAGAGGAGTGGGGATCCCAGACATAGGACCGCATGGCAGATCAGTCTGACCCACTCGGGGTCATTGTTGTATTAAAAGCCTTTCAAAAACGTATACCATGTTAAAAGAAGCAAAATGTAAAACTATTCTGTACTTGGGAAACAAACTGCAGCAGGAAAACTTTCTTGTGTCAGGTGTGGTACAGCAGCCATACAACTGTCTGCCAGAGTCTACTGCTTTGGGTCTGTAGCAGTAGCTTTAGCAGTAGCAGATACTGGTAATTGTAGCAGCAGTACCATTAGCAACATATTAGCTTCATCGACTAATACTTACAGTATTTGTAACAGTAGCAGTGTTAGCTGTGTTTGAGTTTAGTAGTACTACTAGTGGCACTAAAAGTTACATAGCAGCAGTCATTAGACGCTGTCCGTGGTGCTGAAGTAGCAGACTGATTTGTATTTGCTTCTTTTTCTCTCAGCCCCACCCTTCTGTCAGTTTCCTCTTGGACCTATAACATTCACTAAACTATACACTATCAATACTCACTTCTATACTATAGTGTGTAGCCTATATACTCTATAGGGTAGTGTTAAAGTGACAAGTAGCAACATGTAGTCGCGGGAGAGGATCATGGAGACATACTGCTGCCTGTAGTATTCCTCTAATATTCCTATTATTATTCAGTAGCGTCTGTGCTTCTGAAAATACACCCCTAGACCAAGCCTGTAACAAACTATTTTAGGGGAGATTTTTACTATATGGTTAGGGCCATCCTCCTGTTAAAAATGAACAAATCACCGACTGGCTGTAGTAGTGCTATTAGTAGCCTTAGTGATAGACGAGTAGCATTAGCAATATTAAGTAACAGTAGGAGCAGCAGTAGCCGGTTTCCTAAATATAGATGTCTTGGTTTTGGGGACATGATTTATACTATCTCTTCCAGCTGTGTTCGAGTAAGGACTTTTTTTGTGAGGAAGTTTGCTCTTGCAGTTTTTTTTCCAGGAGGAAAGATTTGGAAGTGACAGTCAGGACAGTTAGGCCTCAATCTGAATCCAGCAGTACCGAGTCCTGAAATATTCATCCCGACGAAACTGTTCACACGTCAGTCACAGCCCATCTGTGTGTGCTTAACATGTAGGAACTGTGTGTGTATATATATTTATTTCTGTGTGTGTTTGCACGCTTTGCCGTATGTGCCTGTGTGAGAGAGCGAGAGACTCATTAGCTTCCTGCAGACGATGGGCTGTAGAAGTGAGATAAATGAGACACATCCAACTCTCAGCCAAGTTTCATCTTATGAATTAAACAGCCAGCCCTCCTCTGCTCCCCCAGCACCCTGCAGCTGACATAAATCCTTTATTACTCACATAAAAATGCCACATTTCTGAGGTTTTTCAACCCTCATGATGTGATGATAGTTGCAGGAAAAAGCGACAGCAGAGACCACTTAGCTCGCCACAGTTTCTTAACCTTCGTGCTTGTGCAGTGAAACTTTCTAAAACAAGATTTTTTATAACTCATGCTTGTTGTCTCTGATTGAGCTTTCTTTTAAAAGATGGAGTAAGAAGAGCATGGAAAGTGGAGGGAGCCAGAAAAAGAAAAATAAGTGAAGGCAAGGACAGAAAAGAGACGAGCAAAGATAGAAAGGGAGCATGACAAAAGTAAGGATTCAAACAGAAAGAAAGTAAAACACATTGGGACATAGCCACACACATTTATTCATCTCCTACTGTCATCATAGAGTTTGGAGAGATATGAACTGCATATAGACACAGATAGAAACACATGCATATAGACAGAGTCATATCCAGATTTATAAAGAAACATTGTTAGACCCATTCTCGCCGCAGTCAGTAGCTGTCTGCTTCAAAATAGGACACTGTAGATATCCCTCTAGAGTCATTTCTGGATGTGCAGGGCTCCAATGCTCAAGTTAGCCAGAATGAGTTTCAAACGTCCGGCTAGACTTTCAAAATAAAGCTTGCGTTGTTAAAGTGAAACTTTCTGTTTGGTTAGGTTCAGGCACAACAACTACTTGGTATGGATTAGGAAAGAATCATAAGTCATGTTATGTATCTGATGTAACTGAAGGACATGAATAAAACGTAACTTGCTAAACACAAGTGATATAACTTACTTTTGGCTTCACACGGGACAGCAGTCTCCTGAGTTAAAGTCCAGGCGAGTTCAGAAATGATGCTAGACGGATCCCTACAGCGTCATATTTGAAGCAGGGGGCCACTGACCCATCTGCAGTTTCTTAATGAGTTGGGAGTGAGACTGGGTTGTTAAAGACAGAAAACCCAATCTGCTTTGAATAATAATTCTGTCTGATATGGGTTTTACACATTGTTCTTTTCCCTAACTTAATGGAGCTCCCTAATTAAATTTGTTTCATTCTACAAAGCTGATTCCAGGTTAGCTCATATTTTTACAGGTGTAACATTTATGTTAAAGAATGTGTCCGAACCAGCAACAGCATCCGGAGAGAGAGAGAAAGCCTGAGAGAAAGAGAAGGGAGAAAGTGTGCTGGTGTGGACACAGACAGAAGGAAGGTGTGAAACTGAAACTCACCACTCAGTGATTAATTTGGGCATATTCACAACTAATCCGTCATAGTGTTAATGATGATTTTTTTCTGTTCCATCCGGTCTCATTTGTGTTTGCAACTTTGTAGAGAGAGAGAGTTCTGTAGAGGAACATATAAACATATCTGGAATTCTGTAGAGATTTTTAAACACATCTGGAGTTTTGCAGTGATTTGTAAACACACCTGGAGTTCTGTAGATATGTTTAAACACATCTGGAGTTCTGTATAGATGTATAAACACATCTGGAGTTCTCTATAGATTTGTAAACAACTGCAAATTTGTAGAAATACATAAACACATCTGGTGTTCTGTACAAATACGTAGACACGTCTGGAGTTCTCTAGAGATAAACAGTCTAACATGGAGTTGTAGTGTGACAGAGTTGATAAGCTGAGACCCTGAGGGCTGAGACAGAAACTAAACCCATTACTGTTCTGACAAGGTCATCAACTGTGACAGACACACACACTCACTTTCTGTCTTGTCATGTCGGGACAAGCTGAATTCTCCATCACTTTATTGTGGCAGGCTGCCGGAGAGTTTTTTACGAGAGCTTTTAAAAATGGCTCGTTAACGGTGGGATCCTCGTTAATATACTGCCTCGTCCTCGCCTCGCCACCCGCACACTGCAGAAACAGAACTGATCCTCAACCAGCCAGCACACCGCCATTTAATCAACGACTGGAGGACTGCAGAGAGACAGAGAGAGGGAGAGAGGAAGGGAGACACGGGGGATGGATAACAGCAATTTGAAAGGGTGGTGGGAGAGACAAGGGAGGAAACGAGGCAGAGAGGAAGTGTGAGTGATAATCAACGGATGGAAAGGATAATGGAAAGAGAAATGAAGGAAGGAGAGGAGAGAAGGAGGGGATGGGAGGTTAGAGGAAGAAAGGAGGAAGGGATCAAGTGAGTGAGGTGGGAGGGATGGAAAAGGAAGAAGGAAAAGAGGGAGATGTGCAGGACAGGATAGAGACAAAAGGAAGGAAGAAAAATGTGCAGAGAAGGGAGAAAAGTGAGCAGACGGAGGAGGGATGTAGAGAGTTAGGAAATAAGGGATGGGGGGAAGTGAGAGAAGAGGGAGGAGTACAGTGGAGAAGGAGGAGGAGGCGTGTCCTCCGTCCTCATCAGTATTCTGTCCCGACTGGAGCTTTATTGTGATGCTGGACGACCAGTTTAACCACGACACCGCCTGCTGCAGCTAGCCCCCCAGCTCCAAACACCTCTTTCATCAATCTCTCTCTCTCTCTCCCTC